CCTCTCAGCCATATTCAAAGCAAAGCTTCTTTTGAGTTGGTCCATGTGGATGTATGGGGCCCTTATCATGAAGAGTCAGTCACTAACACTTCATACATGCTAACAATTGTTGATGATTACACAAGGGCTACCTGGATTTTTGTGATGAAGTATAAGACTGAAACATATGAGCATTTGAAACATTTCTTCAAGATGGTGGAGACACAGTTTGATAAGAAGGTGAAGTCTATGAAGAGTGACAATGGGACAGAGTTCATAAATAAGGAAGTAAATGCATTGCTTAAAAACAGTGGAATAATGCATCAAAGAACTTGTCCCTACACACCCCAACAAAATGGGGTGGTGGAGAGGAAACATAGGTCAATCCTGGAAGTGGCAAGAGCTTTATCATTCCAAGCAAAGCTGAAGAAAAACCTTTGGCCCTATAGTTTGTTAGCAGCTGTTCAGATTATCAACACTCTACCATCTGAAAAACTTGCATGGAAAAGTCCTTATGAATTGCTACATGGAAGGTTGCCTGCTTATAACATGTTCAAAGTATTTGGTTGCTTATGCTATGCTAAAGTGACTGAACCACACAAAAGAAAGTTTGATGAAAGAGCTGGCCCTTGTGCATTCTTGGGTTACATCTCAGGTTCAAAGGGTATAGAGTGTATAATTTGACAAATCATGAAGTGTTCATGTCTAGAGATGTATCCTTTTATGAGATGAGATTCCCTTTCACTGAAAATTCAGAGGGAACAACAGCAAATCATAATGATGTACCACTTCCAGTTGTTGCTGATGATAGGAAAGAAATCTTGGAGGATGCAGCAGAAAATGTTGAGACTCAACATAATACACACACAAGGGTGAGTACAAGGGAGAAGAGATCACCTGTTTGGATGACTGATTATGTGGTGAATAATCTGAACATCATGGATACACAAGAAGAACTTGGGGTTTTTGTTGCAGAAATAGACAAAACACTTACAGAACCTTTATACTATGAGCAAGCCATCAAGGACAAAAGGTGGATTGATGCTATGCAGAGAGGTGGATTGATGCTATGCAGAGAGAGTTAGAGGCTCTTGAAGTGAATGACACCTGGATTCTCACACAACTGCCAGCTGGAAAGAGGGCCATTGGCTCAAAATGGGTGTACAAAATAAAAAGGAATCCCAATGGAAGTGTAGACAAGTTTAAGGCACGATTGGTGGCAAAGGGCTATTTACAAAAGGAAGGTATAGATTTCAATGACAGTTTCTCTCCAGTTGCTAAAATGGCGTCTGTCAGATTGATTATTGCTTTGGCTACACAACACCAATGGGAACTTCATCACATTGATATCAACAATGCTTTTCTCCATTGATTTCTTGATGAGGAGGTCTTCATGCTGCCACCTAAGGGATTTACAAAGGCAAAGAAAGGACAGGTCTCTCTATTGAAAAGGAACCTCTATGGTTTGAAGCAAGCTTCAAGACAATGGAATATAGAGTTTTCAGATAAATTGATCAGCTATGGCTTTGTGCAATCTCCTCATGATCACTGCATGTTTTTCAAAAGAACACATCAACAGGTGTTGATACTCCTCATTTATGTGGATGATGTCCTCATTACAGGTACATCTTGCTCCCATATTCAGCATCTCAAGAGTTATTTGAATGATTTGTTCACAATTAAAGACCTTGGTCGTGCTAAATACTTCTTGGGATTAGAGATCTTCAGAACAGCAGAAGGAACTTACTTAAGTCAAAGAAAATATATACTAGATATTGTGCATGACTTGAAATTGGAAACTGTCAGATCCATGGTCACTCCTTTGCCTCAGGGAATTAATCTTTCCACATCAAAGTCACCCCTCACCCTGACATTGAGTCTTACAGAAGACTTATTGGTCGTTTACTTTATCTAAACCTCTCCAGAGCTGATATATCCTACGCAATTCAGCAACTGAGTCAGTTTGTCCAAGCACCAACTCAAGAACACTGGGCAGCCGCACTTCACTTGGTGAAATATCTCAAGGGTAACCCTACTTTGGGACTTTTTTATACAGCCAAGGCTTCTACACACTTAGAGGGGTTCTGTGATGCTGACTGGGGGAGTTGTGCCCTCACAAGGAAATCTCTAAATGGTTACTGTATCTTCTTAGGGAAGCTCTCATATCATGGAAGACAAAGAAGCAGAAAACCGTTTCCAGATCTTCAGCCAAGGCAGAGTATAGATCCATGGCCACAACCGTCTGCGAGCTACAATGGCTTTCCTTTTTGGCCAGAGATCTTGGCCTTGAATTGCGTCTTCCAGTTCCTCTTTGGTGCGACAACAATGCCGCCTTACATATTGCGGCGAACTCTGTTTTCCACGAGCGCACCAAGCACTTGGACATCGATTGCCACGTGGTGCGCAACAAGTACAAGGAAGGTTTCATTTTACCCTGTCATGTCACTTCCTCCCTTCAGCCGGCAGACGTATTTACCAAATCACTGGGTGGAGCTGACTTCCGGCGCTTTCTGTGCAAGCTTGGAATGTGCGTCAATCCCCACATTCCGGCTTGAGGGGGGGGGGGGTGTTGAGCTAGCAAGCTTATGGACGTGCTGCTGCCATGCATTATGGAGTTATTTGAAGACACTTATCATTTTTAATGTTTTCTTTTATCTTTTTTTTTTTTTATATTGTTGTTGCTTTTACTAATAGAAGCGCGTTAGCGTTTCTTTCTTTGTTTTTGTTACTAGACTTATCTGCTACGTGTCAAGCAGCAATTGGTTAGGGTTTTTCTTTTGTTTTCACATGCACGTATTAGTCTTTCTCTCTCTCACGAGATGTGAGTGAATTGGTCAGATATTAATTTAAATTTTTTTAAATATTAATGCTTGTTTCAGCAATCGATCCAGTGACCTGCGATTGGACCTGTAATTCGGTGACCGGGAGTCCAGTCCGGATGCGGGTCCGGATTTTAAATCTATGGGTTTTGTATATTCGTTTTCTTTATTAGTAGTTTTTCCTTTCTGGCCCAAACGAGGGACAAGAGCTCATGGGATGATCATGATGCTGCGACGTACTACTCAACCTATAAATTTATTACTCTTGTCTCTGATTGTCAGCAACTACGTACACAGCTGCAACTGATTTCATTTCTGTTAGTTTGGCAAAGCAACACTAGCCATTTACATCAGATATATGGAAAATTATTGAAAAAACAAAAAGAAAACCAAAATAATTGTCTGTACTAGAAAAAAACAACTAGAGCCATCAAGACACGTGGGTGCTTTCATCAGTTCAGAACCATTATGCGCAATCTTGAGTCGCCACATTCCATACTCTTGTTTGTTCAAAAATGGATATATAAAAAGGGGAAAAGCTACGGTCGGACCGTAACGGTCCCGTTACGCAACCATTCCATCTGGGTTTGTAACAGTTAGATAAACTATTCTCAACGGTTACATATGATGTAACGGTTACAAATCCCGACGGAATGGTTCCGTAACGGCAGGGGCGGAGCCACCCTAAGGCTAGGGTGGGCTCCAGCCCCATGTAATTTTTTGGTACCCTTATTTTTGCTACCTTTATTTTTAAAAAAATTTTATACATAGACCCATTAGCCCTGTGTAATTTTTTATATAGCCCATTTAATTTAGGGTTGAATGCTTCAAAGAATATCTCCAGGTTAAAATTTTTTATTTGACAACAATGGTGGAAAAATGATGATTGTAGTGAGGAAAAAAGATAACCCTTTATTATCAAATGACAATTGTGACCTTATTAGATTTTATCAATTGAGTTTATAATGTAGCCCAACACACTCTTGTCTTTTAAATTTTTAGTTGACTTGATAAATATCAAATGAGCTGGATTATTAAGCTTGACACAGACTTCTCCAATGGGATATTTAATTGGTTTTGTCTCATTCTACAGTATGTTATTCATTTTTATTTATTTATTTATTTATTTGTTGATTTCGCCTCCAATAATTAATTCTACATCATTTCCTAGATAATGAGAAAACTCGTACAGAGTTGATTGCAAATATGTTCGACTCTATTTGTTCGATCGACAAGTTCGATTAGCTATTTCAGTTTGGCTTGTTTAAATATATAAGCGATTCGAGATTGAGTTTTCCCAATTCAAACCAACATATGTTTACACATAATTTGTTTCTAATCATAACCAAAACCGGTTACAGGTCGAAACCGTCGATACCGGGAAGAGAGTTGGAGGATTCTAAACCGGCGCGAATATATGTACGTGCCGGTTCATTGAACTGTTAGTTATTGATTGTCCGGTTCTTTAAAAAAAATTAAAATAATATTTTTTTAGTAAAAAAACTGAACTTCGGATTCCGGTTCCAGTTCGAAAACCGAAATTGCATGTTCAAAATGTATAAATTATAAAATATTGTACATGAACGGAAGTGGTCAAAATCATGGGCCGGTTCAAGATCCATGGTCAACGGGCCGGTTTGTGTCGTTTCGGGCCGAACCGACAGGCTGAGTCGACCCATGACCATGTCTACAAGGCTCCAATAATAACTACAATAACATGCAGCCCCGGGTTAAAAAATTTTCTGGCTACGCCCCTGCGTAACGGAACTGTAGCATCAACCTATAAAAAGATCAAAAAAACAGAGAAAAAAGAAATTCCACACGTACAAGCAGTCATTAGATCAACTCATATACACCCATACTCGATCGTATGAGCGTGTGCAAGCGTGCAATATGACTGTTTGGACCCGAGTGTGGGTAGGGTGGAATACTCCCTCATTGTACTTTTTGGTCATACGCACGCGTGGTAAAGTCTCTTTATGTATAAAGCTTTTTAATATTAAACTCACTCCCAAAAAAAAAGCTACCCAACCAACAAGCATTATATTTTCTAGGCCAAGATCCAAGCCGTGCCACTTTTGCTTTAAATTTCTCTCCCCACTAACTCTCACCATACAAATCTCTTTAATTCCTCCAAACCAACTACACATTCTCCTAACTTCACCACACTGTCCCATTATATTACACTCTAGCTACTCTTTCATGGCTCAACTACAACAAACGCATAGGCACCGCCGCAGGGCCCCCTCATTCTCCTCGACCCTCCTCGAAGCAATCTACCGCTCGATCGACGACCCAGAAAAAAACTTCTCCGGGCCCCACGCCCGCCATGGCCCCGCACGAGTCGATCACGAGATCAAAAGCCTCAGACGTGCTATCAAGATCGAGAAAAGCCACACCGCCACCTCCAGACGGCAACCCTCGTCGTCCCACTCGGGCTCGTCCACCGACTCGAGCATATTCTCCTCATCCGAGACGGAGCCCTCCTCGGCCCGAAACCCGAAACTCTGGCCCACGAACACTATTCGGGCCGAGCCCGCCACGCCCAAGCGCGAGAGTCGGTTCACGAGGACCATGTCGAGGGCCCTCAAGATCTACGGGGACCTGAAGAAGGACAAGGATCCAGGCTCGCCAGGCGGCAGGATCGCGAGCTTCTTGAACTCCATATTCAGCCCGAGGAGGAGCAGTTGGGCCCCCGAGGAGTGTGGCCCGGTGGGGAAGTCGAGGTCGGTAAAGGACCCATCCTCCTGTCTCAACAGAAACCGGATAGATGTCGATAAACCGACGAGGGCCGTGAGGTTCTGCCACGTCAGTGCGGTTCTCGATGAGGACAGCCGGGCTAGTGGGCCCGGCCGGTTTATCATGAAGGGCACGGACGGTCGGACAAGGTCACGTGGGTGTCGTGACGATGCAGAGAGTGACGATGATCGGAGCTGTGCCAGCTCGGATCTGTTCGAGCTGGAGAATATCGGTCGGGCCGGGATCTATGGGGAGGAGTTGCCTGTGTACGGGACCACGAGTGTTATGATGAACCGGGCCATTGCTAGTGGTTTGAACTTTGATGATGTAGTGCGATAATAATTAATAAGGAAAATGCTACAAGTACATAATAAATGTACATAGAGGTGTACATAACACTCACATGGAATGAGGTCCACTTAATTTTTTATTTTTAGTGGGTCCCACTCAATGTGATTGTTATGTACACCATTATATACAACATTATGTACTTGTAGTATTACTCAATTGGAAAATGCTACAAGTACATAATAAATGTACATAGAGGTGTACATAACACTTAATTAAGTATTATTTTTTATTTTTTATTATTTTTTTTCTTTTTGTGTAGGAAATGAGATATTGGTGTATTTGTGTATATCTGACATGATTAATTATAGTGGTGTTATGTTGAATAATAATTCTTATTCTATTGTATAAAATATAACTACTGGTAGTGTCTGTGTTACACAATACTCTTAATTAAAAGTTTTATACTTAAAAAAAAAATAGAAACTTTTAGTTGAATTTCAAATATTTTATTTTATTTTAAATTACACTATTTACCTGTAAGATTGGCTAGATAGATAAATTTTATTATAATTAATTTATCTACCGGTACGTGCGTTCTCAAATAATTTACTATAACCATCTTGAAAGAATTTCTGATGATCCACAATAAATTCATCTAATATGGCGTGAGAAATGTAAGCCCACGTGCAAATTTTTTGCATTATCAAACGAACCAGTAATAAAAGCCATGTGAAACATTAATCAATTATTCGTGTCGTTTAAAAATTATCTTTCACACTTAGGGTGTGATTGCATCATTAAACGAACCAATAATTGAAAGTCGTGGAAAAAATTAATCAATTCTTCGTATCATTTAAAATTTCTTTCTCACACTTAACTAGGGTGCGATTGGATATGGATTTGATTGGTTTTTATTGGTTCTTGTTAATCATAATTAATTCTAAAAAAATGGTTAGTTAGTTGTTAGTGAGAATACAAGTTCAAATTAAAATAGTATTAAAAATAAAATAATTAAAGTTGATTTGATGTAAAAATATGAGAAAAATGATTGAACGTGATGATTTTTTTTCAAGAGCCATTCCCAAAGGGATCGAGGTAAATAAAGGTCTACACATGTTCAACCAAACACATAAAACAAAAAACGTGAAAAGAAAAAAAATCACCCAAAAGTAGAGTTTGAACCTGGGCTGGAAAGTGCCCAGACGAGCAGTCTGACCTACAAAATGGTCTGAAATACAAAAAAATACACAAAATACTGAAAGGCTAGCAACCGAAATATCAACGAAGGGTAGCAATCTTGATCCATCGGCGCAAGGGTGCGGAGGTAAAGCGAGGCGTCGTTCTGGCCAAAAGTGCGCCTCTAGAGAGTGGAGGCACCGACGTTGGCTGGGAAGTCAGTGGGTCGGTTTCCCTCTCGAAAGATGTGCAAGATTTGTTGGCGAACTGACCAGAGTGTGGATCTGATGCACATGAGCAGGTGTTGAATCTGGCACGAGCCCTGGCAACCCGAGGTCAAGAGGGTGGCGACACCAGCAACATCCAGCTCAATCCAAATGTGAGTAGAGATAGAGGCACTGATGTTCATCATATTTTCATGCATTATGAGTGATATAGTGTGATGTTTGACCGTGTTTATTGTGGGATTGCGCACCATTTCGTTTGATTTATTAATCTATGATAGAGGTATAGTTGTCGTTGGTTTTGCAAGAAATATGCCCGAAAAAGCGTTAAAGATGGAATCGGGACGAAAAACGGCAAAAATA